GACCATATAATAATAAGAAACTGAGCAGGCACATCACCAATAAAAAGGATAAAATAGATCTAATACACAAGAATAATGTAATAAATAAATTAAATTGTCAAAACTTCCCCAAAATCTACATATGTGAAACATCCAAGCAATTAGGGAACGGAATTTCACAACATATTACTAACAGTAAAAATACAAAAAACATAAACACTAGCATATCACAGCATAAGATTACAGCATAAATTTAACTTCAATAAACCACAGATATTAAGCACAGAACCAAAAAACACCAATAGGAAATTACTTGAAGCAATACACATCACAAAAACAATAGAACAATAGTCAATTATAAAACAGACACTAAACATTTAGGGACTCATTATACGGACATATTAAACAAAATTATAATTTAATAGAAATGAAATTACAGATACATAAAATAAACATTAACAACAATAGTATAAAAATCTGGTGCGCGCAACACACAACTTTCACTTACCGATCTACTATGAATAGAAATTATTTTCTGGCAATGCATGGAAACAAACTAGAGACCATATCTTTCCTCCTAGTTGTCCGATCGTAAAGATTTTTTTTGTTTTTTTAGGAAATTCCATAAACTAGTAAAAAACAAATACAATATCCAAAAAAAAAGTGTATACTTTTTGAGTTATTCGGAATTTAATTTTACCATCCCTCGTAACTTTTTTTCCAGCTTCTTTTCGTTGAAGTATGTTATATAGATAAATTTAAAGGGTGTCGAGAAATGACTTTAGCGAAGTTTCATTGAAATCGGTACATTCGTTTAGGCGCTACTGTCTATAGCAACGCAGGTTTTTCTGCAGTTTTTTTCTCCTTTATTAACTTATCAAATTCTTTCAAAAGTTATATTTAGCATTTTTTCATTACTTTGAATAACGTGAAATGATTAACTTTTTAAAATAAACCATATTAAAGGTACTTTAGAGGAAGACGTATATGAACATTAACAGGGCATTTAAGCCCTGTAAAGTGACTTCAATGGGGATAAGACCTAATTCATATTAAAGACCACTTAATTATACAATGATACACCGAGTTTAATCAAAATCGTTAGAGCCGTTTTTGAGAAAATTGTGAAAATGTGTTTCAGCGTTGATATAAAGTGGCAATTCCGGTTAGCCGATTTTAAGGAAAAAGTTGCCGTCACATCTAAGGCATATACCTATCTTAAATACGTAATATCAGTTTCGTGGGACTTTTCGTTTTTGAGCTAGACTGCTAACATACAAACACACAGACCATTTTTCGAGACTTGGTCATTTCGACTCAGGGTACCTCAAAACGTCTATTTCCGTTGAAAACTCAGATTCAAAAATTTTCTCGATCGCAATACTTACCCTTACTATATATTACATATATACGTAAGTGAAAGTAAAAACAGTCAGATCCAATGGTCAATGCCTATTGTATTTCACTATGGCAGACAGGTAATTACAAATTTATTGTAACAACAGAATTCTGACATGTATTGTAACATGCACTATATTTTAACTCAAAAAATGTTTTAGAATTGCATCCACAAGATCATTGGGATTGTGGTTCTGAAGATGGGAGTAAATATCCCGAAACGTAAACTTGTAAACATGTAACTTTATAATACAAGAAATATATTCAATTATTGCCAAATAACTAGTAATATTGTTGGTCTAATTACATTTAATTGGATTTAAAGAATCACTTAAACATTATATCATATAGGTAGTTTATTTCTTTCTTCCAAAGTAATTATCCTAATACATACATACAAAAAACAAATTTCAGGCTGAACCCCTCCCCCCCGCCAAACGAAAATTAAATCCTGGATTCGTTAGTGCTAAAATGAGCATTCTAGGGTACGTTTAGACATTTCACAAGCAGTGTGAAACACGAATTTCTCTTGGCTTGTATTTTTGTTTGTGCTCGCTACATCTACTGGCGATTTGAAAGAGAAATAAAAGGCAATTGGTATAAGTTCTAGTATTACTTCCAGATATTTATTTTCTGTTTGCGTTGTTTAACAGATGTTACTGAATTTTCTAATTCCTCTTAAATTAACTTAAATTAATTTTCTGCAACCACAACATACATCTGACGCACAGGCGGATCTACGGGGGCGGGGGCTTTTGGCTGAACCCCTCCTCCTCCCAAAATGGTAAAATATAATCTTTTTTTACAGAAAAAAAATATTAATAACTATCTCCTAAAGTATTCTTGTTCGTTTAATTACATTTTATAGGACTTCAAGAACCATTTCATATAGGTAGTTAATTTCTTTTTTTTTTTTTCAAATAATTATCGTTATATGTATATGAAAAAAAATCTTCCGGGCTGAAGCCCTCCCCCCCCAAAAATTAAATTCTGGATCCGCTAGTGATCTGACGAATTATATTTTGTTTTCTTTTTCTATTAAATTACGATAGATTCAAGCAACAGCGATTCCGAATGGCAAATTTTTGTTTCTCTGGAAATAGATAAATTTCCAAACACTCTGTTTCTTGTTTTTGTTTGTTTGTGTTTATGGTATTTTTGAAATGTCTAAACCCGACTTAACTGTTACTATTACGTTTTCTCTTCAATTTATCAGCATCAGAGAAGAAACGGTTACATAATCGCTAACCGATTATAACCCTTTTTGTTAAAAAGGAAGCCAAGGTTTACCCATCCTGGTTAATGAGACCTAAGATTGGCTGACGCTGAAACACACTTGACTAGTTGTGCCATCCCATTGGCTAACTGATGTGGCTATCCTCAATTAACTGTGTAAAAGGATTATCGCTGATAACCTGCTCCGGGACACCTTTTCCTGTTTCAAAACTTAAGGAAAGTCATCCATGTATATGTATATATAATACATGGATGACTTTCCTTAAGTTTTGAAACAGGAAAAGTTTGTATTTCTGTAATAAAAGTTTATATATATATACTTTTATTACAGAAATACAAACTTTTCCCATATATACATATATATATATGGGAGCTGGAGTAGCCGTGCGGGCTAAGGCGCTTGCAATAGATAATCAAAGTTAAGCGGCGCCGAGCGTGGTCAGCACTTGGATGCGCGACCGTCCACCAAGGAAAGCCACGCTGCCCGAGGTTCCTCGCCTTCCCTCCTCGGGTATGTGAGATCTTGTCAGTCTACTGGAGGCAACTCACACCAAACGGGCGTAGGATTGATGACCCTTCCCCGTGCTTTAAATCAAGAATCATTATGTGGCTTAAGAGACCACACTCACGGTCAAAGCCAACTTTATGGTCTGTAGCGCCAACGGAAAAAAAAAATGTATGTATATATATATATATATACACACACACAGGGTGTCCCGTAAGTAGAGGGAAATTTTTAGATAAGAGATAGCAGATTTATTATATAAACAAGTAAGAAATCCAAAGAAGTTTTTTGTTGTTTTTAATAAGTCATATTTTTTTTTAATAGACAGCGATAACTAAAGAAATAAATAATTTAAATAATTAACAATTTCTACGTTGTAAATTAGGCAAAACTCACTTTAAATAAAAATAGAGTGTCATTATTAAAATAATTCAAAGTTGACTTTTGGCGACTAAATTAAGCTAATTTCAGTTTTTAAAAACATCATAAACTATATTCGAGTTTTTTTTTTAGTATTATCCGACTATACTACGTATACCCCACTTTTAGGAAAACTTTCTCGTTTAATAAGCTTTAAGTCCTTATTAATTAAGTTCAAGTTTATATGGCAAACATTTGAGATTCATCTAAAGTTGTGTAAAGATATGATCGTTGATGTTTTCACATCTATCGTGTAATCTAAAGCACACGCTTTAGTTATTTTTTTGTTTAAAGCTCAAATTGTATCAAAACATTAGCGAAATCTCACTGAATAATTTGAGCTATCAAATTTAAAAATCGATCAAACTTTTTATTGGAAAGATTAAACCACTTTTATCCAAAAAGTTGTCCGTGTTTCGAGTTCAAACTTTTTCAAAATACTCATAGCAAGTCATTCAATAATTTGAACTTGAATTATTAATTTTATTTTATTAATCTATATAAGTAAAATAAAGGTTTTGTCTGTACATTGAATAGAATCAACCCTTTTTATGATATCTTTCCGTTTCATTCATTGCAGACACCAAATACACCTTTAAAAATTTGTTTGTCTGTATGTCCGCATTGCAACGAAATTTTGTCAGGGGTAAGCTTAGCAATTGCTTATTGTACACTTTTGAAATTTTGACATTATAGTAAGGTTTGCTTGACTTAAAACATAGGCTTTAAATGAAATCAAAATATTTAATAGAACCAGAGTTATTAATTCTTAGGCAATTTGTCCAGAGATCCCGGTTAGGCAGTTACTTCGATTCTCATCCCAACCTACTCTACTGATGGAAAAAATTATCACAACTCAACGGGAAAAATCCGAAATACCAAACATCTGTAACGCGTTGCCGCTTAAGACATTCATTTTTCAACTTTGTCCGATCTTCCCGTCCAAGGTGTCATTATATTCAACTTGCCGAGCCTAACAAATGTTGTCGTATACATTTTTAGGATTAACCTAACATATTAGCCGTAAATCGGAAGAAAATCTTCTAAAAATTAAAATTATCTCTCCCCCCTCACCCAATGTTATGAAATTAATCCCTTTACCATGGTATAATACCCATCTCAAAAAAAGATTCTCAGATTTTAACTACACAACCCTCAACGATGGGTACATCAGCTAGTAATTAATAATTTGAATTGAACCACGTTTTAAAATGGGTCCAGCTGTTAAATAACAGGACGAGCGAAGCAAATTATTATTAATATTTTACTACCAATGTAAATCAGAAATTAGCAACCTTACATCTGTAACAATAATTTCAAATCCACTTTACATAATTCTATTCATTTTCAGATGCATCACCTTGCCATTGCAACGTTGATATATTGAAACAATATTGTCCAATAGCAAAATATCTTAAAATACTTTTTTTAACTATAGCTGATAAAATATGCATATTTTCAGGATGGCAGATGCAATACAAGAATCTGAAATTAGTAACTTTTATCGAGATAAGCATATACTATTGACTGGAGCAACGGGGTTTTTTGGGAAACTTTTGATAGAAAAGTTACTCAGGGTATGTAAACCAAAAATGATATATCTACTTATCAGAAGCAAGAAATCTTGTGAACCTCATAAAAGACTTCAAGCTTTAATAAACAATACGGTAAATATTATTTAAAATAAATTATTCAATGTAATACAAATATATTTATTGTGATATTTTATTAAAAATGTAATATGTTCTTCAGATATTCGATCGCCTTAAGGAGCAGAACCCTAATTTCATGGACCACATATCAGCTGTTTCTGGAGATATTTCAGAACCAGGACTTGACTTGCTGCCTTCAGACAGGGACATCTTGGTCGAAAACGTCCAGATCGTCATGCACGGTGCTGCTACGGTCAAATTCGATGAAAAATTATCACTTGCCACAAAAATAAACGTCCTAGGAACCAAATCAATTCTGGAGCTATGCCAAAAAATGACCAAACTTGAAGTAATACATTTTCTTAATTTATTTACACCAAAATTTCATTAAATCCAAAACGAACGATTATGGTCCTCACCAAATACCTGTTAAAGTTATCAAAATCTGCCTTCCAACCTTACTTCACGCACTTCTCCACATGTATAATTTCTCTCTCCAAAATTCCATTTTTCCCAAATCCTGGAAAAGAGCCATAGTCCGTCCACTGAACAAAGTTCCAACTCCTTCATCAGATTCCAACTTCAGACCCATCTCCAATCTATCCAAGCCTCTAGAAAGATTATTTCACTCTCAGTTGAACAGCTTTCTCGAGCAAAACCATCTCTTCAATCCTTTACAATCTGGTTTCCGTTCCCAGTATTCCACCCTGTCTGCTTTGCTAAGGATTACCCAAGACCTCCAATCCGCTATAGATAAACAGAAAATTTCCATTCTAATCCTTTTTGACTTTTCCAAAGCGTTTGATTCCGTCAATCATGATATCCTTCTTTCCAAACTCCAAAGCCTGCCCATATCAAAAAGCTTCCTAAAATGGTTCCTCTCCTTCTTATCCGATCGATCTGAGACAGTTGTAATTCCGAAAAAAACTCCATCATCTCCCCTTCAACTAATACCAGGTGTTCCTTAGAGTTCCTCCCTCTCCCGATCCTCTTCTCAATTTATATTAGTTACCTTCCTGACGCCATTCACCACCTATATGCCGATGATTTCCAATCATTCCAACCTTCTGAGATGCCTGGGGCTGCCTGAAAGTTACAAGAGGATAACGACTGCATCAACAGATGGACAGAAATAAATGAATTCAAGCTAAATGCAGATAAAACTAAGGCAATTCTTATTGAATCCATATATCTCATTAGATCCCTTCCTTACTTTACCTCAATAATCGTCCCATCCATTTTTCCCTACAGTCAAAAACCTAGGAGTAACCTTTGACCAGAACCTCTCCTGAAATAACCAGATCTCCCAGATTACCCGAAAATCCATAAATATCCTTAAACAACCCGTAAGATTCCGTGTATTGTATTCCTCTAAACACTAGCGGATCCAGGATTTAATTTTTTGGGGGGGGCTTGAGCCCGAAACCATTTTTTTTTTTTATAAAAATAACGATAATTACTTTGGAAAAACAGAAAGAAACTAACTACCTATATGAAATGGTGTTTAAGTTATTCCTTAAGTACTATTAAATGTAATTACACGAAGAATAATACTTTAAGAGGTATTTTTTTCCTCATAAAACATGGTTATATTTTTCCATTTTGGGGGGGCTTCAGCCCGAACCCCCTCCCCCCCGTAGATCCGCCCGTGCCTCTAAAAACCAGACAGCTCCTTGTACCTCCCTTATATTCCCTCACTTCGATTACGGCTGTTCGACTGGCTTTATCCTCCTTATTGTTTTCCTTTTTCAAGTCCTCAGAACCAAAAACCATCCCTATATTCTGGAACTCCTTACTCTACACTAATCTATCCATTCACTTAATACTAGGTCTCAACCTATAGATTTATATATCCCATCCCATAAAACTACTTCCTTAAGCAAATCCTTCGTCATTCGTGCTTCCTCCTTTTGGAACTATCTCCCTACCTTCATATGTCAATACTCGTCCACAAATTCCTTTCAACAACTCTAATTCCACCACCTACTCCACATTCAAACTTCCGCTAACATGTAAAATTACTTGTATCTGTATACTATTTAATTTCAATTTATTGCACAATTGCAATGACAATAAGCAGTTAATTAGTTCGTATTTTTTATTATTTTAAACCAGACTAATACCCATAAATTTGTAAGACTGTTATTATTATTAGGAGACTGAAGTCCCAGAATAAAATTATCTTTTCATTCCTTCATTCAAAATTAAAAATAAAACAGAAACTGAACACTTATTTATCTACTAAAGCCTATATGAACCTACGCTTCACAAATATACGGAACAGCCAAAACGACACACATACCAAAAACTACAAACCTTTTAATCAAAAACTTTTAAGACTATTACTGAGCTCCATGGTACGTCATAAACATTACTTTATATAAAGATCTAAACATACCAATAGTTTACAAAAAATTTCAAGATAACTTACATGGACATACTGACATACTGATATAACATATGGCCAATCTAAACATACACAAAAACACGCTTCAGAGGTTCAAAAGAAGGTTGATGAGGGATTTCCTCACTTAAAAATATACTAAAATCAAGTCAAGAAATGATGCCGCTGGGCACTCATTTCCCTCACGCCGATCAAGCCACTATCAATAATTTTCCGACAGCAGATTCGCTAATTGTCAATACTTCTGACAATCGTGTATAAAGAAATAAAGTTAAGAAAAAATGTACACCATTTTCCCTTCATAAAAGTGGTGACACAAAAATAGTGATCACTTTTGATATTAATAAAATAATTTTAACCTAAATAAGGTTTTGTTTAAATTTTTGAAGCTAAAAAAATATTAACATATATTTATTTATTTTTAATACATATACTCATTTATGAATTCTATTGTTTACTCAATCAGGTTTAAGATAAAATAAATAAAAAATAATACCGTTCATGTTAAGATTATAAACATTAGCAGATATCAGTCAGACCTGACCGTCTATTTAAGAAGTACCTTTTTTTTTTTTTTTTATGAAACAAAAATAATATATTTATTGAATTTAACAAAAAAAATTAAATATTGTAAACAGTGAACAATTTTTATTGAGTAATATAACATTCTGCCCATTTGAAAATAGTTACAGTAAGGCTACATTCACATTATGTATACATAAAAATATAAAATAAACAAAATAACTACTAAATAATAATCAAAAAGTATATATAATAAATAAAAATAATTTTAAAAAGGAATACATACATACCTATTAATAATGAACAATTTTTTTATTTTTTTTTTACAGTCTGTAGTCCATATATCGACAGCTTTCAGCAATTGCAATCAACTTGAAATTAAAGAAAAATTTTATGAAAGTCCCATGACATCAGATAATCTCATTCAGTTGTCGGAATGCGTCAAAGAAGACCAGCTAGAATTAATGTCGGCTCAGTAAGTGATGCATTTTAATTATATTTTTTATTTTTATAGGTATTAATATAACAAAATAAATAGTACTTCAAGAATATTATTAGCTAAGTCATCCTAAAGTACTATCTTCTTTTTTCCTACTTCGCTATTTCTGGCATATAGGAGTGGGAGGTTTGAGATTCATTCAATTGGTCCGCCATGAAACAAATTCCTACCTTCTCCAAGCTGCATCCTGCTATATTTTCCAGAGTTAGTCCAGGTCCTTTTCTGCTTCTCTGCACCACATCTCTCTAGTGTCATAAGTCTTTCTCTCCTTCTTTCTACATGGAAGCCTAATCTTTTTCAAGGTTCCCACAAGTCTGTCATATCCACTTCCATTTCTTATCATTTATTTCATGATAAAGCTACTCTATGGATCTCCAGAGTTCCTCGTTGGAGATCTTCTAAGGCCACCACATTATCAGAATATTTTCCGGAGCAGAGCTTTTATTTATTTATTTATCATTTATTTATCAATGATGCATGAACTTATATCTCCCCATCTCCTCCCAAATTTTTTTCATTGCTCTATTCATCTTAAAAACAATATAAGATAAGCAGAATTAGAAAAACCATAGATTCAGTATAATTGCATTTGCTGCGGTCTGCTTCATGTTTTCCCTTTGTCCCCTGGTGTATTAGATGGCCTCTATTTACTCTTAAGTGACATTGAGTGAGTGAAGAATAACGAATGTAAAGGTGAGAATGAGTGCACTATGAATTGAACTAATTGTGCAGTGGACATGTTTAGTGAAAAGTGTCAAATGTATAAACAATTGACCAAAAAGGTATAGAAGAACAAAGAAATGAAGAAGCCTAGAAAATCATCCAGCAGATGACAGTAGCTCGAGAAAGATGCCGGGCGAGAGAAAAAAAAGACCTCACCTGAGGCTACGACGTGAAGACGGAAGGTTGTGGCAACATAAGAGAAGCCCATTCTACAGGAGGATCAAGCAGAAGGTCAAGTTTACTGACTGTCGTGGACTTTCAAGTGATACATTATATACAATTAGTGCATAAATTAGCATTGTTACTCAGGAATGGATGTTCTCTATTATTTAGTTCTCCTATATGTCTCAACATCTAATAATCGAAGATCGACAAACAAGATCAATTCATTTAAAGTGTATTTGCTCATTCTAATATTTTATATATATATTTATTATTTCTTGTCACCCATTGTCACAAAAGAATTAGTTTCCCGAATTACCAACAGCAGTCAAAAGTTTATCCAGAGCCGGGGTTTTGTTTTAAAATTAAAATTCACAGGTGTAATTAACCAAGACCCCTCTAGAAATAGAAAGTTTTTTACACTGGTTTGAAACTTTTCATTCTGAAAATTCATAACTCCATCGAAATGTGCCCTCCTTAAAAATTATGACACATATTGCACGCTGATATTCCCTTCTAAGCACATTTGTTTACTTGATACTAATATTAATATATATATATATATATATTAAGATAATCTTAAAACTTTCTTTCAGTATAAGAAATAAATGGCCAAATACTTACGTTTTCACGAAAGCAGTAGCAGAAGAGGCTGTGACTAAATATGGAAGAGGGCTCCCAATTTCTGTTTTTCGACCAGTCGTAGGTAAAGTTTAATTAACTGTATGTTTTGTAAAATTATATAATCAATTGGTTTATTACTTTTTAAAATAGCAGTTATCGATCAATTTCACATCCAGAATGGATTATCAATTTTCGTGTTTCTGTTGTAGAATATTCAAAGCTTTTTATGTTTTTTGTCACCATAACCAAAATGAATGAATTCTGTTACTCAAAAGTATACATGCAACTTTTATATGTTTATATTATATAAGATAATAAATATATCACTCCAAGATATTTATACTTTTTATATTTTACATAAATAGCCAATTATCACAACATTTTATTGATACACTATTTAATTCGACGTTTCGACCATACTAAGGGTCATTTTCAAGTCTTGATGAGTCCTCCGTTATATATTCATCATTAATGTCGCAAATAATATGTTCAGTGAACATTAAATTGTCATGGTCTATAGGGGTTTTGCCTACGTCATTTCTGGAGGGACTGAAACCCCTATAGACCATGACAATTTAATGTTCACTGAAAATATTATTTGCGACATTAATGATGAATATATAACGGAGGACTCATCAAGACTTGAAAATGATGCTTAGTAGTATGGTCGAAACATCGAATTAAATAGCTTATCAATAAAATGTTTGGTGATAATTGCCCTAATTTATGCAAAAAATAAAACCTCAAGACACCAAAATTAGGATAAATGAACCGAAGAGATATTTATACTTTGAAAACTGAGCAATAGAATAGAGTTGCGTTTGTATCCTCTTGGATTATAGTGTATTTATTTATTTGATTAATTATAAATGTATAGATATAAGTTTAAAATAATATAAAGATTTTATTATTTTTTTTAATTCCTTTTATATTCACAGTTATATCCACAAAGAGCGAGCCAGTCCCTGGCTGGTCCGACAACTTATATGGTCCTCAGGGTTTAACACTTGGAACAGGAGCAGGAATAGTGAGGGTTATAAGATGTGATTCTAATTGTGCCGCTGAACTTGTTCCAGCAGATTATGCGGTTAACTGTCTCCTTACTGTCGGCTACAAGACAGCTTCGGTAGAGTGAGTATGGAAACTAGAAATCGTTCATTATTTATTGATTTACTTCAATCATAAATTATTTTAATTACCAAAAAAACATTACTTAAAATAAATTAGACTGAAAGACAAAATTTAAAAAAAAAGAAAACTACTACGGTATTTATTTATTGCCCTCTCCCTTCCTTGTCTTTCGACAATACGGAATTCCATTTTATGGTTTACAACAATAAAATGTATGTCTTTTCCTGTACTGTTACGCATTTTCCACTATGATTTCTATCCTGTTGTCACCCCGGATTCCTTCCTTCCATACATGAATGCCCTGTAGTATGGGTAGTTATCAGTAGCGACGAGTAGAGGTAAATCTCCTTCGCTGATACTATAGATACCTGTGCTAATCATTAGCTTGGCCCTCAGTGCCTCAAACGTAGTGCAGTTGGTGATCACAAGTTCGGTAGTTTCCGGGATACCACAACTGAAGCATAGAGGATCGTTATATTTTCCAAGACTATGTAAGTTGACAGAAAAACCACAATGTCAAGTGAGGAATTTAGATGCCCAATAGTCTGGTTTGATCCATCTTGCTGGTAATCGGGATAGGACGGTGGGAAAATATTCCCTCAGGATACCCCGTTAGTGGTAGTGACCCACCGCCTGTTCCACTCGTTAGCTTTTCTCAATGTTGATTTCCATCTATTGGGCCGTTCCTCAATCCTTACTCGAATCTTCTTGCAGGAGGAGATCAAGAGGTATCTCCCTGCTAAGATCTGTCTTATATGCTCTGGTGGCCTGGAGCAGAGCTGTCCTCTGGATAGATGCTAATTTTCTCATCTTTTGCTTGAGAAGGTTCAGGTACCTTAGGGGGATGCATATCTTAATATACGCAGCATCACTCCTATGTAGATAGCCTTGGTCGCTGGGTATCTAAGAACCCAGAAGGCTCCACCGACAAAACTGAGACTGTTTAGGGCAGCTGTAAGTACGATATGTACTTAACAACACACGATAGAAGTGAAAACCTCAACTAGGTGGTATTAATACTTTGAAATATAAATATTTTATATATTCAAAAGCAATGATACATCAATTAGTATAAGAAAATTATGCAGTATTGGTACTTTTTTTTTTAAATAAAACTTCTGTAATGTAATTTGTCAGTAATTTGACAAAACATTATCAGGTGCAACAGAAAATTGAATAGAAACAATTTATTTCTTATTTTTACGCTAATTAAAAAAAAAAATATCTAAAATTTTAAAAATTGTGAGTTATTTTAGTCCAAATGTTCAAAACAGTTGTTATTATTTAGTTTTATGGCGCTATCTTTTTCTCTTTCTGCCTCTCTAACACAGTGTTGCATCAAGATACATTGTGAATAATAGTAAATTACAAAGAGAATGAAATGATGAACATACAGTATGCAAGTCAGATTTTTAGTTTATAAAATATTTTAATCCAAATGCAAAAATAAGCTGACTCAAGCAGTGATATGAGTGTTACATAACCGAACTTGACGCTCATTCAATATCCAAAAAAGAAAGTGCCAAGCGACCCTAAAGAAGTTTTAACTTTAATAAAAAAGGAAATCATAAATTGTAAAATAACTTAAAGATAATGCTTTTCACTCACTTACTTATCAAAACCTGCAAGGGCATAAGGAGCTCATAAAAATTTATCCCAATTGGGGAAGAAGTCTTTTTTTATTATTTTTTTTTTTTTTTGTTTTTGTAGCGATTGACATTTTTCTTTATTTTTTAAATGTTTAAATACTTACAACCAAACTGTCACTGTTTTTCAATTTCTCAAAAATGTGTTAGTTATATCGGTATACTTTATTTTTAATTTTTTCTACATTGGAAGGAAAGGAAGATGCCTCAGGAGTACAGGACCCACAGCTTAGATGATAGAATAAATCGTTATTTGCTATAGCTACTAGTGGATCCACGATTTAATTTTGGGGGGGCTTCAGCCCGAAAGATTTTTCTATACATATACATATAACGATAATTAATTTGAAAATAAAAGAAAGAAATTAACTATCTATATGAAATGGTGTTTAAGTGGTTCCTGAAGTCCTATTAAATGTAATTACAGGAACAAGAATACTTTAAGAGATAGTTTTTAATATTTTTTTCTGTAAAACGTTGTTATATTTTACCATTTTGGGGGGGGGCTTCAGCCGAAAGCCCCCCGCCTCCCCGTAGATCCGCCTGTGGCTATAGCCAAACACCCACCCCCCTAAACACACACACATACACACACACACACCCACACACATTAATTACCCTTTGGTGTATTTACCCTAATGTGTTTTAGTTGATATTCATAAGCTTTAAAGATCAATTTTTCTAACAAAATAAATTTCTTTTGTTTCAAGTTCACATCTTGACATCCCAATATACAACTTTTCTACCGACCCTGAAAACAAAATAACTTGGGGAGAATATATGAAGGTATGTTTCCAAAGAGAAAAAGAAGTTCCACTGGCTATGGCGATATGGTATTGCACATGCGTACTAGTCAAAAATTGGTTTGGTTTCCTTTTGCTTACGAACATCCTACACAATCTGCCAGCTTTATTCATTGACACTGGATTATTACTTATGAATAAAAAGCCCTGGTAAAATTAATCTATTTGAGTACAGTATTTTAACATTATTAGATGAATAAATATTTATTTATTAAATTTATAAGATTCTTTTTGCTTTACTGAATAAGTAATTTGATATTTGTCATATTTAAACATTTGGATTTGATGGTACAAATGGTATATTACAGAGCTTGAAATGAAAAAAAAAAATTATTTTAAAAAGTTTTGCTATCACCAGAATTTTATTGTCAATAATTTTACAGTACTTATGGAACTATAACTTTTTCCTTACAAATTTTGAAGTAATTGTTTTATAGAAATCTTATTTTTAAAAAACTTTTATTTAAAAGTTCTGTCGATTTCACTAAAAAGTCAATCTAAAAAATGACTTCATAGCTACTCAAACAAAGGATACATATAATCAAGTGTAATTCATTTAAGTCAAATTATAACTCCAATCTAAGCATAATTAGTATTTACTTTTTATTTAAAGGAACTTTTTTTCAAGAACTTGAATAAATAAAAGTTAAACTTTTACTATAAACGTGCAACTTTATTACAAAAAAGTTCCTTAGAACTTTTATTTTGATCTTTGTTTTAGACAAATGTGACTCCAACATATTTGTTTTTAAAAATAATACAATTTCACATAGCCCTAATTGGAATCTTACAATCATACTGGATTTACCCTTATTTACATTATAGCTAATATTAAATTATAAATCATAACAAAAACATTTTAGTTAAAGTTCATGTTACACAGATGAATAACTAGAATTTTATTCCATAACTAAAAATATTGTATAAATTAATTACAATGATGAGGAGTTAGTTGGAGTGAGCGGTCTCAAGTAAAAAAGTAAAAATTAATTAATTATATTTTTTTTCATTTTTGTGCTTTGGACGTTTTGGCAAAAAGTTTATACCTTCATCAGAGCTAAGAAAAGACAAGATAACAATACATATGAGAAACTAATGAACGATTGAAACATAATAATATGTAAAAAAAGTTAGAAAAGGTTAGGAACTTATGAAATAAATAATAATTGTAACAATTTATTTATTTCATTAGTTTCTTACCTTTCATAACCTTTTTTACTGTTACTTTATTCTACATATTATTATGTTTCTAACGTTTACTAGTTTCTCATATGTATTATTATATTGTCTTTTCTTAGCCCTGATGAAGGTCTGAACTTTGGACCGAAACGTCGGCAAAAATAAAAATAAATATTATTTATTTATTTTTAATTATGACTGCTCACTTCTAATAACTCCTTTTCATTATTTTCAAGGCGGCCAACTATTAATTAATTAATTATTTAACTATTATAAATTAGTTACAGTATGAAATTATATGCAGTATAATTTAATTTTGAGTCATTTCTAGAAATTATCTGATGGTGGCTTGACATAGCGGAAATGTTGTAATAAAGAGAAAAGGTATTGTGATGAAGCAAAAAGAGCATTATAGATTTAATTTTTAAAAGATATGTAATTAAGTGCTTTATTTTTGTGAAATTTTGATATCATATTTTCAATTTAATGTTAATAAAATGTTAACTGTTTATGCTATGGTTAAACTTAAAGCTCCTGTTTGTAAAAGTTACTTATATTGTAATTAATATGAAGATAACAAAACTGATTCTTGAATTTAATCTGAAAAATATAAAAATGAGGTATGAAACTATCAGTCATAATAAAAAATCAAAATTTGTTCACAATAATCCTACTTTATTTATTTTTATACAGCAACTTTTCAGCTCTTATACGATTTTCAAGAGAAGAAAGCTATTTTAAAAAACTAAAACCATATGGACTGAATTTCTCTTGAAAATGGCCTAAGGGCTTAAATTTTGCTATTGAAAAATAAGTAAAGAAGGATTTTTGTGATCAAATTATGTATTTTTAACATTAATAATAAAGTAAAGTCCTAACTTAGAAGATTTAAATATAGATATATGAAACTATATTATTCTTATGTTTTAAAATTTCACAGAATAAAAGTTATTTGCTTTTCATTGTTCTCAACTCAAGCCTAAAGTTCAAAATCAACCAAACGTTTTCATTAAGATTTTTCTGCTTGCTATGCTTTTCTTTCTTTTTTTTTCATTATGTTCTACCAGTTGTCAGTAATGCAATGACATTTTCAGGGCATTGAACATCTACAAAAAAATTCACAAGCTGGAGAATCTTTTATCATTTTTTTCAACTCGTCAATGGGATTTTTCCCGAGATAACGTTGATAATCTTTGGAAAAGCCTTTCAGAAACAGATAAGAAGTTATTTCCATTTGATATGAAATCTCTAGATTATAAAGCATACCTTTTCAGTTATGTGGATGGAATGAGATTTTATTTAGGAAAAGAAGATGTGAGTACGATACCACGGGGCAGGAGGATTAACAAGCTGTAAGCATAACAATTCATAAATATATAACTTTTTTTTATTCAATCTAAGAAAAAATATAATAGTGATTATAATTAATTTAATAATCATAAATTAAGGGAAGAGTTTGTTCGAACAAGTTAACTCCATGATCCTTCAGATCAAAATGGTCCTCAATAAAGTAACTCTATCCTGTTCAAGAGGTCTTGAGCATCCTGGATGAAAGCTCTCATCGAAATCACAGCATACCTCTCTCTATCTCTTGTCCATTAGAGCCTTCTGTCCAGCCAATTTTTCGGAATCCCTTCTTTTGGTATTCTGTCTAAGCCTAACATGGTCTTCCAACCTTAATCGGCCATTGCGTGGGTGGGATCGACTGGGACCTCGTAATTCAGGAGGGTGACGATATACATTTTTAAAAATCAAATATAGCATTATCTCCCATCCTTACTGACTTATGGCCCCCATAGATGATAAAATTAATCCTAAACTAAAAATCAATTCATTAGTTCTGAACATCGATTTTAAAAGAACAAAGAAAAGAAAAGTTCTTTTTTAAATCTATGGTAATGAATAGTACGTACAACAAATTTCTGTCTCTTAGTCTTACAGAATTGCAGCGTACTTAGATGTTTGTTTACAAAAACGATGATCTAGGAACGCCAGTTGCTGGAAGTGTTTTAAAAAGAACATAAAGTTGTTAATAATTTTAACAACTTAATGGTTGTCTTTCCTTTTGTATTCGTAATTCATACGTACTGTTTTTAAAGATTCTTTTTGCTTCGCTTTTCACTTAATATTTCTCCTTTCCTCATTTATACTGCTCTGTGGCATCATGTCTTTAAAATAATAAATAAATTTCAATACTGAAAATTATTTGAGAAGCGATTTGAAATTTTACATTCTTAAAAGACCAAAACCCGAAAGTTATTAGTCGTAATAAGTAATTAAGTCGAATGAGTGGAGAAGTATTTGGAGATCAAGACCAGAAGAGAGTAAAAATAAGAGTATGATACTTTTTATATCTATTTATTTATCTGATACTTTGTTTATCAAATTGATCGATTCTAATCAATTTGAGTTTTTCTTAGTAAAAATCATATTATTATTTTTCTGTGGATGTTTGACAACGTTTATGATTGACATAATAATAATCTAATTAATAGTATGAACTAACTTGAATCAATGTGGAAAATGGAAAAAAAAAAAAAAAAGAAAAGGAGGAGGAAATTTGGTATTTTCAGAAAATCTCTCCCTGGGCACCCACAATCCACGCGATGGCCCCGTCTGCCTCATCACATCAATATTCCCATACAGACCTTGGGTGTCTCTGTTCTTCCTCCTTCATTTCTGCCCTACTTTAACTGGTCCAAAAATGTAATGAAGGAATTTCCATTCATTGTTCGAGGATCTCTTTCTCTTCTGCGCTTGAGTTGTCCCATGTCTCTGATCCATAAGTAAAGACAGGTCTGATAACAAATTTGTTGAGAACACCTTTCATGGACCAGAAAATGGTTGCTGAGACCAAAATAACACCCATTTAATTTATTTATTTATTTAAGAGTATCCACTTTATAGAGAATGGGTGTGCCCCAGGAGGTTTAAACCACGGCTAATGTAAAAGAATACAAAATGACATTCAACAGCCAGACTTAAACCCAGGGTCCTGAGCATAGAAGCACAGTACTTTACTAAGTGAGCTACTTCATTCCTAGCTATGCCAGTGACAGTTGGAAATTCTTGTTACTTTTTGCCATATGCAAATTTTCGGCAATGTATAGATTGCTAATTTCTTTTCTTGGTAATATTTCACTTCTTTGTACATACTGTATAATTAAAAAAATATGAAAATTGAATGCAATATTTTTTTTTTATGCTGTAAAAGTGGAGTTCTACCCTTCTGTAAATAAACTATGTAACATTGAACTAATATACTAATTTAATATTTATATGATATATAATATTTAAATTTAATCTTATTTTTTCAGACGGTATGTAGCACACAGATCTGTACAACTAGTCTTTTCTTCAAGTGTTATCTGGTGTTTGTGGAGAGTTTTCTCGTTAATTTTATAAACCCGCGAGCTCCTTTCATTTGAAATATAATTAGACAAGGAAGAACTGAGTTTCCTATTGTCGTAACAATAGTCGATCATAAAGAATTGTGTGAATTGTATCATAAATCTTTATTTAAATCCTTTTTCTTTAAAATTAATTATATCTGTTTTATTTATTTTAATTTCAAAAACTAAAAAGTGTAGATATAATATAACGTAAATGGATTCTTATCCATTCTTATTCTTATAAAAAAACATTAGTGAAAATATTTCTGTTAGCTTTAAGTAGCATTTACTAGGCAATACAATATAATATAGTGTTTTATGTATATAATTTTTGCTTAAATTATAATGAATCTCCCTTGTATATTATCTTACAACTTAATACAGCTTTTTTAAAAACATTTCTACACTTTATTATTTGGAAAACATCTCCAATTTATACCATATGTGGGAAACTTTTTTATCATTAGAGGTCATGGTAAGGTGATAATGGAAGCCGAAATAATTTTTTTATATTTTATTGTTGCTATTATTTATTATTTGTAAATAAATACATAAACACGCACACCTATTTACATATATTCAACTTAATTCTATCTATTTTCAAATTTTCGTAACCTAAAAAAAATTAATTTTAATTAAGTTCAGCATTAGATTAATAAATATCGTGCAAACAAAATGGAGGCTCCAGGTAAAGCCACACCCAGCCTCCATCAATATACCAATTAGAGCTATATATATTTAGCTTTAAGTTGCTATTATTTATAGAGTATATAGAAATAAATAAGAAAACCTTGTTTACATTCTATTATAATAATAGCCAACAAAAAAATTATATAACAAATGTCGGGTCTAATACTTCTGTTTTTCCAGAAGTTAATAGGTGTATTCTCCTGTAAATGTAAATAAAGATCTCATAAACTGCTAATAATTTTTTTAAATTAAATTTCCACTTCTAGGTTATAATTAATTAATATTTGAATTAAAACTTAATATTTTTGAATAAAATTGAAAATTCAAGCTAAAAATTGTTTCTTTTTACAAATCCTCTTTTATTTATTCCTCTTGTTAATTTATCCTCCAATATATATATATATATATATATACATATATATTTTTTAAATAAATGAGCATCCCATGTCTTCTCCTTCATACTTTACTTTAAAACTCAATAAAAATTTATATTCTGCCTTACATGATTCAAATTTGTACTCCGGAGGTAAACAACACATGAATTTTGTTTTTTTGACAGTTTCAAGGTATCCCTTCTTAAACATGATATATAATTCTCTGATTATATGAATAATAAATATATCTATCTTATTTTATGTACTTACTTTCATTATCAATATAAATAAAATAAAATAAATTTTATACACAACCTATAAATAAAAAAATAATTCATATCGATAAATGTAGAAAGTTTGAGTAAATTCTCCAAAGGCACCAAAGCAGTCCTGAGAACAGAAGAAATCTGGCGATGCAATCGACAAGATAAATTCTGCGAAAAAAAAAAGTTTTAAACAACTTAAATATTGAATACATGATAATTATTTTTTTGTTTTTTGATTGGGCAAGATTGTAAAGAAAAAATATATAATGAAAAATGGTCAAGAATAGAAACTAATCTAATTAAATCATTGTTGAACTGAAACTCTGTTACACGTTGTTGCAAAAACTTGTTATGTCCAAACTAACCTTGTTTGTGACATCAATATTAATGAATGGATATCACCTTTGGAGCTATGACAAGTTTAGCCCTGGGCTTGCTAATTTATTGGAAGGCTAATCATAGATTTAGTTTGTGTTTTATTTAACATCATATGCCTCTCACTGAAAAAGTGTGAACAATTTGGACCTAAATGGTAATTGCATTAAGGCTTACGATTGGACATTTAGAAGATAGTAATCAATCCACAAAATATGCTAAAATGAATTAGAGGTGGTTTTGAATAGAATTAGTGTTTCATATTTTCACCAGAATAATCAAAGTTGAAAAGAATCATTGAAAATATGATATAAATTCATGCATAAATTTAAAAAAAAAATTGAAAGAAAGGCAGAGAGAACAAGACAACAGCTAAATCAAATTTTGACCAATATATTGATATATTAGCTAATTATATGTTTATATAAAATGTAGAATAAATACTTTTTTAATAAAAATAAAACTTTGAATATTATTTGATATATCGATTATGAAGAAGAATTATCATAAAACCTAAAACTTTATAATAATTTTAAGTTTATTTAGGGTAAGTGCACCAGTGATAGACATAGCTAAGAAAAGTTTTGCCTTTTTTGGCTTATGCCATAAATATTATAATAGCTATAAACTTCTCCGTTGGACATTTAGAATCTCTAGGGTCTTCTTTTTCTACTTAGCACTTTAAAATTTAAAAAATATTCAGTTATGCGGATATAATCTCCATTTAAAAAAAACAACACTAACTTTTGAACTAGTGATGGACAACCCGAACTTCAATTATTCTAGTAATGGACACGGGGTCAGTACCACTAATGGACATACCCCAGAAAAAATTCTAAATTTGTATTTAACTATAAATAACGATATAACGATAAAGATAAGATAATATAAATGTGCAACTTACTCTTAGCGAATCTGTTAGTAGAAAAGGTATGAAACACACTGGTCTCAAAAGCACTAAAGAAATAACAATGATAGCCATTTTAAGATTTTCTTTTGGGAAATTTATTCATACAGTTATCAATTGGGGCCATTGTTCTTCAATCTAGTAAAAACTATAACCTTTAAATCAATTAGAAAGCTTATTATTTACATTTAAAATCCAACTTGTCCATCACTGGGCCCCCTGTCCATAACTGGTGCATTCACCCTACTGAAAATTATTAGTTTGTAACATTAATAAAAATATATAAAAAAAATACTATTTGACTTACATAAAATATCTTCTCTTTGTACATGTCAAATCCTTCTCTTCGTCTTTCAGATATATCCTAATACCATCAATGGTACCTTTTAAAAAGGATTTAAAATCAAGCGATTCCATGTTAAAGTCAAACAATTTTTTGTCTTCGTCATTAAGACTTCTCCAAAGACCCATTGTGTTTTCGAGTGAAAATATCCAAGTTTGTGTGGTAAAGTATTCCAAAAGATGCATACTATAATGGATTTTATTGTACTTCTTTAAAAATCTAAAATTGAACCAAATTGATGGTATTAATCATAGAAACATTAAACATCATTACCTGCTACAAGAATTTAAAACATTTTTATTTTGTTAACCTTTTGGTGTGTGGCTCCCATTATTATATTGTTTCACCGTACCAAAATATTAAAATATTCCTTGTTAAATATTTAAAAAAAAAAATGACAAAATTGAGACTTGTTGGATGCATAGACTCAAGAAACAGAAAAACCGGTAAAAAATAGAAAAGAAAAACTGATAGATGTAAGATGATGATCCTGAAGAGGAAGGAAACACTAATATACTTTGAAAAAATTAATAAAGAAGGTTTAAAAAAATGGATATAAATCCACTATATACATAATCCAGCAATTTAATTCTCAAAACAAAATATTTTAAATTGAAAAAAATGGCGCCCATTCAATGATATTAAGATTATTGGCTTTTTTTTTTTAATATATCATACTCAAATATCAGGATGTGATTAAGTTTTAACATCAATAAACCTTAATTGGTAAGAAAAATCATTGAGTTTTTAACACAGTTGAAGATGAAAGTAACTAAAACAAACTATCTTTTCTACTTTATTTATTAAACCATTAATTACTAAAAAACTACAAATACTTAATTAGGTTAAATTACCTGGGTTTCTTATGTAGAAAGATAAGCCCTAAGTCAATTATAACTGCAGGCAATATTTGTAGAAAAAATGCTAGTAAGTAGTAAAGAAAATTATTTTTGAAAATGAATTTTGAAGAATAGTGCCAATATGTCTGAGAATATGGTATTTCCATGATTCTCTCTTCGTTAAAGCGAAACATATCAGCCCATAATAAAGGATTTTGGGGATGACTCGTGAAATTATAGATTGGAATTTCCTGCAATTTTCTAGAAAAATAAAAATAAAATTAAATTAAATTAAAATCAGAAATGTTTATTATATTGACAGTAATTCCTTCTGATTAAGAAATTATTGGAAATTTTCAAAATAAAGCTTTTAATTCTCTTGGAGTACTTGTTTTAGATTGTTGATATGAAATGTGTTGTCTGTCTCTAGTCTATAGTTATGTAACCTTATCTTTTTCTGTCATAGAGATTCTCTAGTAGGTAATTTGTTTACTATTTAGTTATTTTTTGGTATTTTAGAGGCTTATGTCAAAGAGTTAGAATTTTACAGTAATATCTTAATAATAATTCTTATTTATTTTTCTATAATTTCAAATGGTTATAAATTGTATTATTATTATAAAAATAAATAGGAAGAATCTTCGTACACTCCTACAATCCTAGTTTACAAACTACATGCTATTATGATTGAATATCTATTTATAGTATTGGTAATATTGTAAATGAGAATATTATATTAATTATATACAAACATAAACACATATTTTTGTTTATTGTATATTATTAATACCTTGATTTAGCTGTTTCATATCCAACTGCTAGAAGGCAATTCACAGTCATATCTGCTGGTACCAGTTCTCCTTTATCGTTATTATTAAACTTGAGAACACAGGCTGCTCCAACATAATATCCAACTAATATTATTATTGGTCCATGAATATGAGCTATCCAATTAGGAATGGGTTCACTTCTTGTTGTAAGTACTATCGATAGACAATTTAAAATTAGTAATAAAACCATGATTGAGTATTTTTGATTATGTGTTAAATTTAACTTTATAAAAGCAGCTGCAGTTGTATGTTATTCTGTATTAATTTATTTGATATAAGTAATAAATAAATACTTAACTGATATAAGTAATAAATACATTTTGATATAGAATATGTTTTTGTTTTTTTTCATGAACAGGCCTTAAAGACCACTCACAAATTTAATGCTTCCTCTTCATCTGCCTCCTCTTTTCCCATATGCCCTTCATGAGCTCCGCATGCTTACGTTTTCTCTCCTCAGACCACGCAACACCCTTTTTGGAGCGCTTCTTTCCCGCAAGAACAGTTATTCCCTTGAGTGCCTTCCTGTACTCATCTCTGTCCAAACAATCTTGGTCTCTTAGCCCCACTTGGTCCATATCATCCTTAACCTTAAATTTGAAAAATTTTATGGTTAAGTCTTTTAGCATTCATCCTCATCATATGGCCATAGAACCTCAGCCTTCCCACCATAGCGTCAGTTTCTAGATCTGTTGTTTCCTTATATATTTCTTCATTTGACCTCAACCTGTATCCTTCAGGTGTTCTCGTAGGTCCGTAGATTCTTCTTTCAATTTTCAGAATGCTCTCAAGGATGGGAAGACAAGAAGTTTCTGTTGCGTAGAGTACCACTGGCTTGACAGCTTGTTATAATGTCTTATCCTAGCTTTTAGAGACAAGTTCTTCTTTTTATATGTTTATTTAATAATTTTTTTTTATGAATTAAATTTCTTTTCTTATACTTATTTTAGTATAAGTATCTTAATCTTTTCAAAATCTGATCAAACTTAATAAAATGTGCTATAACTTGGAAATCCGATCTCTAATTAATATATTAAATTAAACCAAATAGAGGATTTTTATGTATTAATTACATAATTTAAAATATTTAAGTAGAGGATTTGCACATTTTGAGGTTTTACTGCACGAAAATCCGGCCTCTAACCAGGGGTTTCTCCAAGCAACTTCCTTAGTAATCAAACCTTATCTTTTACGGTCACAGTCGCATCAGAATATTGTCCTCCTGACCAATCCATATCCAATAACCAGTTCACTTCTTTCCTTAACTCCTTAGGACATCATTTCATCCTGGGTGCAGACTTAAACGCCAATAACCAACAATGGTGTACTTGAAACACAAATTCTCGTGGAAGAACGCTGCTATTCCCGACGCTTTAACCTCATTTCCTCGAACTCTCTTACCGCCCACAGATCCTAATCGTAATTGGGCGGGGTGGCCGAATGGGCTAACACGTTGTGCACAGCACCACCGTTGCCCGGCAACCTGATATATGATCATTGATACAAAAATAGCCATGAGTTCGCGTCCCGGGGCCAAGGCGTCTTTTAAATCAACGCCCACACCCCCTGGCCAGAGAATCGATTAGGAAAAGATCCTAATCGTAAAGGTCGTGGTGGCAGAGTGTGTTGGAGCGTTGCCCGGTCTAGCATCCTCGTGCTTAGTGACGCAGGTTTGAATCCTGCCTGGGAGTGGTTGACTTTTATTTCGTGGCTGCCCCACGGAATGAAACTCGACCCTCCCACTCTGGTTAGAATAGGTTTGGTTGTACCTCTAGAACAACCCCCTCTTCCTCTCCCATATGCCAGAAATAGTGGGCAAGGGATTATATAATAAAAAAAAAAAGGTCCTAATCGTAACGCGTCTCGGTACCGGGGAACTCTTTTAAATACCCGCCCTCACTTCCTGACCCTGGAAAACGCCGTATAGCCTTACATCACCTATTCCACCCTCTTTGTCCCCTAAATTTTTCCTTCTGAAGTGAAATTTCAAAAACAAGAATTATTTTCCATCGTTTTTATACTGTTTACCATTTTTTTGGAATGCACTGGATGCAAGTAATAAGTTCAGAGTTGTTATATCTCAATTTTCTTGACATTTTTATATCTTTATTTATTCTATTTTGAAATTTAACAATTCAGTTGATAAATGCTTTTATTTTTCATTTCACTTCTTCCAGGAGTGGTAATATTTTGCTGAAATCCCGATGGCAGTTCCTAAACTCAGCGAAAATCGTTGTCCAACAGTGCTATATTCAATCGATTGATGGATTCCTTCGATGGAATTAGCGCTGGGATTAGGAACTTGCCACTTATTTAAAAATAAACTGATGAGTAACACTTTAATACTCACTTACTGCAGGCCTCAGGATGGATATAGGCAGCCCTAGACCATTTTCCCTTACAGCTTCCTCAGCGACTGCTTTCGTAAACACGTACGTGTTAATCCATTCTCCCATGATTCTGTAAATGAATAATTTTCTTTTAATCTTGAAATTGTATAAGGTAGAATTAATAATTAGAATACAGTGAAATTAATAATATCAATGTACATCAGAACTGCATGCTAAATTGTACTGTGAAATATATTGTAATAGATCCTTTTTCTATACAGGTATCTCGTAAAATTGTTAAATATTTAACTGTTCATAAACTACGAGGTTCGCGATACATCGATCTTAAAATTTACTATTAAAATTAGATAAACCCCCTTCTCAAAATGTAATAATAATAAAACAAAAAAATGAAGAGGGGGTTGTCAGTCAAAAAAGAAGGCAAAAATAAATGATAATATTTATTTTTACATATGCCGACGTTTCGACCTGAAGTTCAGGCCTTCATCAGGGCTAAGAAAATAACCAGAAAACAAGGTATGAGAAACATAAGTAGTGATGGTAAAAAAAATAAAGAAAAAAAAATAAAGTAAAATGAAATTGTTAGAATAATGACAAAAAAAAAAATCAAATTTAAAATGTATACCAGGAAAGCCATCTCTTGATGAAATGAGAATATTTACGCACAGTATCAGAGATGAATATCCTTTGACATGCCAAATGTAGTGTTGCCCAAAATCGGTCTTGGTCTTGCACTTTGCAAGATCAACACCAATGCCGTCTTAACTGTTGCTAGACCAAGACCAGGACTGGTAAAAAAAAATCTATTTTTTTAATAAAACTAGTTACTAATACTCCACAATTTTAGTTGCTATATGTTAATAATTGAAATAACCAATATACTTTTGCATTTAACTCCTCTAATTTCTAATTCGGGCTTAGTTAATTTTCTTCTATCTAAAAAATTAAGATATATCTCTATAGTAATAAGCTAATAAGTAACTGCAAGACTGTTGCGAGAGTCTTGCGCAAGACCAAGACCATGACCAAGACTGAGTTTGTAATACCAAGACTCGTCTCGGTCTCGTATTTGGGCAACGCTAGCCAAATGATAGCAGTTTAAAAATGGTAGATGGCTCAATACCGAAACGTTTCAGTAGAAAGGGGTTGTTAACATTTACGAAATTTTGGATGTCGTTCAATAACTGTTATGTTAAAGTTATTCCTATATGCAAAGTTAAAGTGGGGCAGATGAAGCTTATCATTAATTAATATAAAACCATTAAATTTTATATTAATCAAAGTATGGGGAGAAAAAAAAAGTGTAATAACGAATATAACATTTAAAGGGTGTCTTAAGTAGAGAGAAATGATTAAACTAGTACACATCAAGATCTACAAAAAAGTTCGTATGAACAATTACCCAAATTCCTGCAAAAAAGTAAGAAATACATTTTTTTTTATTATTATTGAAGCCTCGGAGGTTTATCAGGAATAGAAGAGGAAGCAAGGTTGGAAACAAGAGGGTTCGGATGGTTCAGAAGTTTATTATGGAAGGATAGATATCTGGATTGAGCTAAATCGGAAAAATATGGTACATTAAGGTCGTTATGGACGATTTTATTGGTGACAAAGTAGGGAGCATTGAGGATTTTACGAAGGATTTTGGATTGTAGAGTTTGGATACAAAAGGAATTTGATGGTTTAGTAGAGCCCCAAAGCTCGATTCCGTAAGTCCAAATAGGCCTTGCAAATAGGCTTTTTGTAAATATTTGGAAGTTTAGACTTATTTATTGTATATATATTATTTTTCAGTATAATTTATTTTATTTATTGTACATAGAGTGTGAATGTGATCTCTGAACACTATTATAAATGTCCTTTGAAACAGATTGTAATATTTTTTCAATAAATAAGTTAAATAGAATAAAAAAATTAATGAAGTGCAGCACTCTGCAGTAGTCGAAAACGTCGGGCGGTTTCTAGTCGTTTCAGTCTGGTATGGGGATGTGGAAATACAAGATTTGTGTTTTTTAAAGTGAGTCTTCTTTTTTTGTAAGTAGGAAGCAATAACTAAAAAAATATTGTATTTAAGTAATTAAACATTGCTTCATAATAAACAAGACAAAATTTAATTCAAATGAAAGTTGAATTTGCCATTGTTAAGGCCATTTACAGAGGACTACTTAGCGCACTAACTCAGATAAGTTGTGTTTGAAAAAAAGTCATAAATTATTTGTGATATTTTTTTTATCACCCTTAAACTGTGCTAAGTTATTCCACTTTTATAAAAGCTTTCTTGTTTAATAAACATTAAGTCCGTATCGATTTAGTTGAGGTTTAATCGGAAAAAATTTGAAATTCAACTCAAGTTGTGTAAAAAAATGATGTGATTTTCTATCGAGTCACCTTAAAGTGGCCGCGTTTTCAACAAAAATTACTACAATTAACTGTTGCAAAATTTTTTATTTCTTTCAGGATACCCTCTATAGCTTAACAAAATAGGGCTTATATGAATGTACAATTCTTTTTATATAAACATTAGCTTACTGCGGTGTTATGACGTTCAATAGTTGAGGGCTTAAATTATCATCTAAAGCGATGAGGCCTTGAGGAGAAATCGGTGTCTGGTAGAATTCCTCTCTGATCTCTTTCCTGGGACTGTGACTGTAAGCTGTAGAAACATGAACCACGGACTGGAAATATAAAAAAAAAAAATTATGGAGATATTGTTCACAGACACAGTAATTTTCATATTGTTAATATAAATATATTTTGTGGGTATTGGGAATTTACAACTGTTAAGTAGAGCATATTTGGCTTTTATTTCAGATGACCTGATAGAAAATTACATTGATGAGTTATTATCCGACTACGAAGAAGTCAAGTTATGTATTTGGGTTGACTCGATGAACTGGGTTGATTGTAAACAGCTGATATTTTTGATTAAACAGCTGGGCCTAATTTAAGTTTGATAACTCAAATCATTCTGTAAGATTCCTTAATTGTTTTGAATGAAGGACTTAAAACGCTGACATGTTATAGAATAAAATGTGTTCAATCTATTCGTTTAAGGGTACATGTACCAAACGGCTTTGTGATTTTATGGTTAATAGCACAAATAATTCGGTGAGATCTCGCGATTTTTTTTCAACGAATACTTAAAACATTTATCTGTATTTTGTTACTTTTGTATCATATAATATCTAAGTTCGTGATCATTTACAATAAATATTTATTTTCAATACTCGGACAACTAAAAGCATTGGGATAAAAAAATAATTTATTATTTAAAAAAAAATTAACTACAGAAATAATCTAATTTTATTTAAGGAAATGCATTTACTTAAACAGATTGGTGGATTGTTAAGGAAATTGACGCATACAAATATTTAAAATCGGTGCCGAGATCACCTGCCTTAAACAATATATTACGGCTTCTGATCAGTAGATTTCGTCCAAAGAGTCTTGAATAAGCATCATAAATAACACATATAATAAATATACCTCCAAGTTCTTCATCTTCTTGCACAGTTCAAGTATTTCCATAGTTCCTCGAACATTTATCTTCGTCGCAGTAGACAAAGGTTCGTCGAACTTGACTGTGGCAGCAGTGTGAAATACAACCTGGACTTTCTCGATCAAGTGTTCAACATCCGCCGAAGACAACCCATGTCCAGGCTCGGATACATCACCAGGAACGATCTTCAATCGCTCCATGAAGATCGGATCTTCTTTCTTAAGACGGTGGAATAACTAAAATCAAAAATATTAAAATTTTTTTGACATTATGTATTGAGCCAGCTAAGCCCCTAAACACTCCCTATATATTACAAAATCTACTGTTTAATCTTAACAGGAAAATAAACTTAAGAAGGCCATATCAACTGATCAATAAACATGATTCCATTTTTTCATTAAATGGATAAGGAAACATTGCGCATTATTAATTACTAAATACCATCTTAAAACATTTGGTTTTTATTAACATTAAAATTATTTATAATGAATTATTAAGCATGTCTTTAAAGATATTATAAATAGTCATTTATGTTATAACAATGGTATTGTTTTTTTTTTACAAAGTTTTTAATATTATAAAAAAAGATCACAATAATTCAATTCTGGTAATTGATCATTCATCGTTTTTTTATGAATAAATTTCCCAAATAAACTCATGAAATATTACAAAGGATAATTCAAATTATTTATTCATTTTCGATGATAATTTTCTTGCTGCGTTATTTATATAAATCATTTCATGGGAATTGAACCCCAATATATTTACAACTTACTCGGCTTCATTGTTAATTAAAACGAAAATGTAAATTTTACAGACAGTTATTATTTTTTTTGTTTTGTTACTTTGTTTAAGCATCGATGACCTGGAGGTTTGATGCCTTTGAAATAAAAAGGAAATTTTTTTTTTGTTGATTAAATTGTTAATCAGTCGAATAATTTTTATATTATGATAAAATTAACTGACATACTCACTCACCAAAAGATCAAACGTGACAGGTGTAGTAATTAACATTTCATTGACGTTTAACTATACAAATGAAGCATAAACATAGATGCCGAAGAAATTTAGACTTATTTACTCTAATTTGAGTTCATTTTGATGAATGTTGAATAAAAAATTATGCCGAAAACTGGCGTGCACGGATATTTTTATATTTTTTCCGTTTTACCATAAAAAATAAATGAAAGACACTGTTTCACATGTATATTTTGAAATTAAAGATCTTTCAATTTAAGATAACCAAGACTGTTGAACCAAGTATCCACACGATTAAAACCAAGACCAATACATTTTAAAGTTTCTTAAGGGTACCGGACACGGGATTTTATCCTACTATGATCTGAATGTTCACTTTAAAATTCACAACCATGTAAAAATGTACTCCTCTAATAAATTTAAAAAGCATTCCCTTTTTACTTTCCTGCTTATACCAGGTAAGGAAAGTATTGCGATCGAGTCAAATTTCCGATATGCGGTTTTCGACGGATCTGTACATTCCAGAGCCCTCTGAGTCCGAAAAACACATTTCCAGCCATTGGTCTGTCTGTCTGGGTCAAGATTATTTCGGGAACTAGTTTTTTTTTTTTTTTTTTTGTAGGATTTTGACTACTGATGCCTGTGACACAAATCGGGTGCTCCCTGCGCAATACTGACTGCGGAACAAACAAGAAACATATTTTTTTTTTAGACTGCAGTGCAAAACCGGCTCTAACGATTTTGATGAAAATTTTCTATAATTTTCTAATCAATGTTCTTTTAATTTTTGAACATGTACTAAACAACCGAGAAAATTCAGGTAAATGATTTTTAAAAAAAGAAAAATGTTTTGAGACCAAACTCGCTAAGTATATATTCAATGGTAAAATTTATATATAAACTTTTAAAAGGTAATAAAATTAACTATAAAACAAACAAAAAATCATCGGAATCGAAGCAATGTTAGCGATGAATTAGCCTGTTCTGTTTTCAACACATATTTTAATTTATTACTTTCTTTCCAATACTAGGTAAGGAAAGTAATACGATCGGGTCAAATTTCTGTGGTTTTCAACGGATCTATACGTTTTAGAGCCCTCTGTGTCCGAAAAGTACATTTCCACTCATTGGTCTACCTGTCTGTGTACTAGGAAACTAGTGAACCGATTTTCTTGCTTTTTTTATTTTGTAGTGTTTTGACTACTGATGCCTGTGACACAAATTGGGTGATGCATGCTCAATAAGTGAAAAACATATTTCTCTCTAGACTTTAGCACAAAAATGACTACAACGATTTTGTTGAAACTTTCCTGTAAATGAATGTTCTTTTAATTTTCGTACATATACTAAATTTTATATTTTTAAATATATAATAACTCTTCTGAAATAGGTAGGAATCACAGGTTACAGCATATTAAAAAATATTAAAATATGATATTTACTCGACTCTCTGTGAGTTCTTTGAGCCTATGATGAGGATCCTTGGACTTCTTGGTACGAATTATGAGATATATCATCGCTGGTTTGCAGACCCTCAATAATTTCTCAATTACCAATTTTCCCAACATACCAGTCCCTCCGGTCAATAGTACGTGCTTGTCTTTGTAGAATTCGCATATTTCTGAAGCATCTTTATGTGACTCCATTGCAGCCTGGAAACAAAATTAAATCAACTATCATCCATTTATAAGGCTAAAATCAAATTGAATGCTCTACATAGTTTATATTGCTGCTGTATATGCTTTACTAATATGATAACATGTAACCATCAAAATCATAGGCGCAGACAGGAAAGGCAAGGGAGGGCAAAAATATGGATTCGGCCTTCCATCTATAAGTCGAAGACAAAAATAAAATCAATAACAATTAATCTATATGAATGGATATAATGTGTAAACTAAAACCAATTAATAAAATAGGAAACATAGAATAGATAGTTAAGCTATGGCCTAGAAATAATTTTTTTTTTAAATTTGGATTTAAAATCAGAGGTCACCCGAGGATGATCCTCCTTCATTGACATTGATATCCGCCTTTTACTTTCAAAATGGTGGCCGAAAAACCTGCGTTGCTATAGACTGTAGCCCCTTAAAGTTCTTGATGCCCTTTAAATTTATCTATACAACATACTTCAACGAAAAGAAGCTGGAATATAAGTCACGAGAGATGGTAAAATACGCAAGCATTTTACCACTCCCATGTTCCTATTATTGACATTTAAATTTATATTCTAAGAAAATTATATGTTGCAACATGATTGATTCTATTTCTACTGATGCCTTTCATTTTTACGTGAATATTTTCATAGACATTCCGTAGTATCGACATCAAAACCAGTATTCCTTCCATCTAACAACAAAGTAGGTCATTATAACAACAAAGATGTTATGTTGTTATTATATTTTGTGGTACAGCACGGTATTTTAACATCTTAGCCTTGTATTAAATCAAAACAGTGATTTTTGGTTTATTATTTTCAATAATGAACCATTGTAAATGAACAGAAAATTCAAAAACTTAACCCCAATTTTTCCAATGTCCGCCATCCGCCCGAAGTTTTCTCCGAAACTGCAGAACCGATTTTTTTCAAATTTGGATTTAAAATTAGAGATCACTCCAGGATGATCCTCCTTCATCGATATTACTATCCGACTTTTACTTTCAAAGTGGCGGCTGAAAAACCTGCGTTGCTATAGACTGTAGCGCCTAAACGAATGTAACGATTTCAATGAAACTTGGCTAAAGTGTTCTTCTTGGTGTCCTTTAGATTCATCTATATAACATACTTTAACGAAAAGAAGCTGGAAAATAATTTACGAGGGATGGTAAAATTAGATTCCGGATAACTCAGAAAGTATACACTTTTTTGTTGATATTGGTTTTTTAAAAGGTTGTGAAATTTCCTAAAAAATAATCTTTAAAATCGTACAATTAGGAGTGTGGTCTCTAGATGTTTTTTATGTTATACTGCAAATTATTTGTTTTGGGTTTTGAATTTTGAATGTGTTACTGAAGTAATGCTATTTTTGTTTTTAGCAAATTACTAATGATGAAAAAAAAAGGTTTAGGCAAATAGTTGGAATTAACTTTTTTTTCTTTTAATTTGTCACTGTCTAGGAAGATTGTAATATTTTCAATTAAAAAAAAAAAAAATTTGTCACAGAAGGTAATATACTTTAGATGTAATTTTTGGAAATGATAAACATGTGAAATAATTTGTAGCGTTTTTCTTGAACGTTATTGCGTTAAGCTCTCCAAAAAAAACAAAAATTAAACAGTTTGCTGTTGAGCAAGATAAAAACGTCAAAGGAAAAATAGTTAAAAATTTGAAAGTATTTTCAAGTTAATTTTATTAATTTGGTTGGACTTGGCAATATCTATTTCAATATGACCCAAAACTTATCTACTCTATTGCTTTGAAATATTTCCACACCATCCGGTCACGATTAAAAGCGAAAAGGATTTTCCCGGAATATATTAAGTCTGGTAATTCCTCAGGGCATGGAGGTTTCCGTTTTAAGTTGTATGGCCTTGAAAAGAACATTGATCTGCTATACCCCAGTTGCGGAGTTCCGTAAACAACTGAACATATTATTGTGGACTGCACCGTCTTTGAGACACTTAGGGCTAAACTTCTGAGGGAAACTAGGCTCTATGTTCTCTCTGGGAACGATTTCCCTCAGTTGGTGACCGACGAGAACTACCCGTTCATCACTATAAGTCCTTTGTTTACGAGTAGAAAACCACAGTTGGCCCTTCTCATTTTAATATTTCAAGAAGAGGATCAATTGGCAGACAGAGGAGGTGAAGAAGAAGAATATGGAGGCCTATGTCATCGTTAGATGTTAACAGGCAACATTTGAATATCTCGAAAATTTTCCCATTTTGCCCGAAGGTAATAAATAAAAATACTCTGTTGCCTTGTTCTAAAATTTAAACTAAGTTGTTAAATAAATAGAATTAGCCTAATAAGTAATTGTAATTTGTTGTCTTTGGAATTGTAAATTGTCCTTAATTCATTTTTGCAGTTTGGTCACTTAACCCCGTATATATATATATACATATATATATATATATATATATATATATATGGAAAGAGTCCCTCACGGTCCCAATTTATAAGAGAAAAGGAGATGTAAGTAACTGCAGAAATTACAGATGTACCAGCTTACGTAATTCGCTAAATAAGTTATTCTCTATTGCTCTGTATAATCGGATTATGCAATACGTGGAGAGACAGCTCGGAGACTACCAGGGTGGCTTTAGGACAAATCGATCAAATTTTTGCCTTTAAACAGAGCATGGAAAAAATAAAAGAGTATAATAACTCCATGTGAATGCTCTTCATTGATTTTAAAGGGGCGTACGACACGATGATTAGAGAGGAGCTTTGTTATGCAATGTATGAATTGGGCATACCAGCAAAGCTAATTCGTTCAACAATGGCTACCCTGGAAGGCACCATTAGTAGAGTTAATGTAAAAGGAAGAATTGACGATCCTTTCGCAGTTTATTCGGGCCTTAGCCAAGGTGACTCATTATCCCCTCTTTAATATTGCCCTAGAGACCATCATGAGAAGGGCAGAATTAAATAACAAAGGAACAATATTCCATAGAATGACCCAACTACTCGCGTATGCTGACGATGTGGTCATTGCAGGGCGATCACTTCAAGCAGTGAAGAGTGCATTCAGTAGGTTGGAGAATGAGGCAGGGGAAATCGGACTATGCATCAACGAAAGTAAAATCAAGGTTCTTGTTTTAAGGAAGAAAAAGCTGGTCCATCCACCACAGCGCTATGTCTTGGGAAACCATAATTTTCAAGCTGTATCAAGCTTCACTTACCTCGGGTCTATAATTAACAATAGCAATAACGAAGAGGAGATAGGAGCTATAATAATGGCTGCAAACGGAGCGTACTTTTCTCTAGCGACTCTTCTGAAAAGTAGATTATTAAGTCGTACAACGAAGTTTAGGATATACAAAACGATTAGTCGGGCAGCTGCAACATATGCAGTCCATGTGTGAAACATGGACTCTAACAAAGGCATCTGCCGAACGAATAGATCGATTTGAAAGGAAAATACTAAGACGGATAATATGACCTAAACTGGATGGAGGAGTTCCCCGCTTGAGAACAAATAAGGAGGTATATTCAATGTACGGCGATCTGTCTATCTCCCAATTCGCTCGAGTGTAGCGAATGAAATGGTTAGGACATGTCCTGAGAATGGATGAAGCGAGGACAGCGAGAAGGCTTTATCATGGGAAGCCAGAGGGAGTTAGGTCTAGGGGAAGACCGAAGGCAAGATGGATAGACAACGTGAAAGAAGACTTGAGAAAAAACGGCAAATCCGTCAGGTGCGCAACCAACAGGGATGACTCGGCAAAGGAAATTGTGCAGGCCAAGGATCGCTACATGTGTCTGTTGCGCCAATAATGAATGAATGAATATGTATATACATATATATACACGAACTATATAACTCTATTAACTTGAAGATCAAGTGAACGAAGTTGATACTCGAGCTAGCAAGAAAACGAACATCACTTACCGGTAAGCTTGCTGTTCGTCGAATAACGTGCGAAATTAATTTCACCGACGAACTATAGTTTGGAGTCGATTATTAATATTAGGATGGAGGGGGTCTCTGGTTCACAGGATTATTCGATGAATACGCATCAAGCAAGGGCGTTTGAGAAACCACTAACCTTCTTTATACAGCTTCTTCGTTCGTTCATCAACAAGTAAAATCTAAAAAAAGTATTATCAATATGGATGTATTTAAATATGAAAGTAATATTTAAGGTCTAAAGTGTCAATTTATTGAATAGAAATTCTAAAAATACCACAATTTATATTTACTTGAGTTCGCTAAGTAATCATCATCATTATTGAACATTTCAGGAAAAGATATATTGATTTAAAAAAAAAAATCTTTTCTGCTCTTATATACCTGTATATTCACTTTTAAATGTACTTATAAAAGAAAAAAGTGCAGTACCATTTGTGCACTTTTTGAGTTATTGGCAAAAAATTGTAAACCTATTGTTACTTTTTTCAAAAAAGTATTTTATTTATATACACTTTTTCCACATTTTTATTGATAACACTAATCTTCAATCTACTAAACAAAAATATCTGGTGTGTCCGCTCACACGACTTTCCTACCTATTTCAGAAAAGTTTTTATATCATTACGTATGTTCATGAAGAAACAAAAAAATTGAACTAGATTTATTTTATTGAAAATTGATCAAAGAAAAGATTTGAGTACGATTTATTTGATAAACTAAAACAATGTAAACCGGCTTAAGGTAGATCAGTGTAAAATTCTCAATACTCTCTAATATTACTGATCAAAAACTTTTTGCCACAGTCTAGTTTTGTCAAACAATAATTTCTATTAAAAGTAGAGGAAATAGTGAAGTTTGTGTGATTTGGGCAACAGATTTTCTTACTTTCGCTTAGTCATCTTTTTTCTCTCATTCACCTCTTTCTGACACCAGGATATGAACTCGTAATCTTTTATTGGAAAGTGAATAGCTGTAACTTCGTTAATAGTTGTCCAAAATGAACGATTTTTATACATTTTTGTAGGGAATTTCATTATTAACAACACTGTGTAAAACACAGACAGACATTG